TCCACAGTCACACAGTGAGATCTAACACTGGAAAGCACACTGTGTGGGAGATATAGCGTTTGATAAAATGTGATAAAACATAAAACATGCTCCTGTTCCAACAGTTTTGGAATGTGTTGCAAGGATCACATTTGGAATGAGAATATGTTTCCAAAATACAGTGAAGTTCATAAAGTAAAAAGTTCATAAGGTTTTAACAGGCACTGTACATACTGTCAACTTTTTTGGAATTGGTTTTATATAAATATATATTCAAACTGCTTGTATGAGAAAATGTTTACATATCCTTTAAGCCCACTCAAACTTTTAGTGTGAAATTTTTAAAAACTGAGATGGGTAACTCATTCTGCAAACAAATATTTATCAGTTACTGTGATTTTTTAGCCAATATAACTATACTAGTTTAAGATATTTGTGTCCAAGTATAAGATATAATGGGTCCCTTTAAACCCAGTCCAGACATTTAATCTTTTCTGTTCAGTTCATTATTTTATTTTCAAAATAAACTGTATAAAACTAGCTTATGTTAAAAACGAGATACATGTTAATTGGTTAATTAATACATCCCTATAAATCGAAACGTCCATATGAGAAACATATTTATTTACACTTACGTGGGCTTTTGAGGGCCTATATGAAGTAAACTGCCGAAACTGCATTAAACATAAGGATGCAAATTTGCTGAAATAGGTGTCAGTTGACCGGTTTGGCAGCTGGATAACGGGCTTCTCCAATAATTTCAAAGTTAGGATTTAAATTTAAGGATATTAACTGGATTTACTGTAAAAGTGCAACATTCAAAGTAATAAATATGATGCTTGAATGTATGTTACAAATTTCTAATGTCTGTGCTTATGGTGGAGCTCTCGTGGGTGGTATTAAACCCACTCCCATCCTGAAAAAAAACAAAACAGAACATTTGCAGGTTTGTGTATTTCTATGCATGTCCACATGCTTTCCAGTAAGTGTCCAATTGTGTCCTATTTCCCTAAAAGCACAGTGTCCAAGACCCCACTAAACAACCTTTGCCCACTACCACATTGAAGCAGTATATATCCCACAGTTTGGCGATTTTCTGGTGATGTTGACTTCTGATAATACTATTACAATGAACAGCAAAGATGGTTTAACTTCAGTGTAGGAGGCCAATATGCACCAACAGAAGAGGATTCAGTGCGAAAGAGAAAGTACTTGGGTCATAATAGCTTTTTGAGTATAACCTCCAGTAGGCTTGCAAGTTTTAGTATGAGACCAGAAACAGAGAGAGATGTGGAGATATGCAGAGAGATGTGAAGAAAGATATACAGTAGGACTTTCTGGCAGTGCAGACTGAGCTGGTTTCTGCAAAGTCAGACATAGCTAAGGAAGAAATATTTCAAATTTCAAAAAGCATGAGAAAAGTTTGACTCCATGCCAATATGTCTGAGTCTCCAAAGTGTGTATTTGTGTGAGTGCACAAATTGTGTGTGTGTGTGTGTGTGTGTGTGCTGTCTGTGTAACACAGCATTTTTGTCAAATGAAAAGCGCGTGTTGAAAAGGATTTTTCATTGTACGTCTGCTGTCATGATGCAGTGATGAAGTATGTTTTAAACAGCCAACACCAACAGCAATATTCAACACTTGCAATGAAAAGAACAACTGCGGATAACCCCCCTCTCCTTTCAGAGTCATGTGATATGTTGGCCCTCTTTGCCTGGTGAGCGGTAATTTTCCCAGACTCCTTCACTTTCAACTAAAAGAGGGTGTAAGGCCGAAACTTGTTTCAGGATTGAAACACTCAGCCAAATTAGTGCCTCAATCCTCAGCAAATCTACCCAAATGCCACAACCTTAAACACTGTAGCACTGTTTGAGGAATGGGAGAGTGAGAGAGTTAAGGAGAGGGAGAAAGAGGACAGTTGGAGAGAGAGAGAGAGAGAGAGAGCAGAGAGAGAGAGCACAGTTGGAGACAACGGCACCCTTGGCTTTGCCATCTGAATCCACTTACATGTAAATTGGTTGTCTGTCTGAATTAAGGGACGCTTTGTGAGGGCAGCTCAACCAGCCTGTCGGTCACTGACAATATACACTCTCTCCCCTTCATTCACTCTCTCGGTAAGGGTAACATAATTACTCAGTTATTAACGTGCAGGGAAAGCAGAAAGTGAGAGAATGTGAATGTTGTGATGTGGATAGATGACAGGAATGTGTTTTACTCCTTAGAATGCTGCTGTAATTGCAGAGGTATGGTGTGGTTTTCAAAAATCAAAGGTCATAATGGTGTCACGGACATCAGTGGCGTAGTTTTAAATAGGCCTACATCTGAACTTCACTTAAAAATGTGCTGTTTGTTTCCATAGATTTGACCAAACTAACTAGCCTAACACATATGCACATGCCAAAGATGTGGAATAAACAGCAGATGACTGGTAAGTTTATGGCTAAAAGGTATCTCAGTGTCAAAAAAATAAAACAGACAAATTAAAGTTTCAGTATTGCAAGAACGTAATATAAAAATCCAGAGTTCTAATGCAACACACTTTAATAATAATGCTATGAATACATTATACATGGACATGCATAAATAAAGGTACCGTCCTTTTGAAGTAGGTGTGTAAAAATGCATCAGTTCATTGCTATGCACTGATCTGAAGGTGCCAAACTGCATCAGTTTTGGAATTCTATAATAAATAACAATCTTGTATCAAGAATGTCCGGAGACAATCATGAGAAATTCTGGGCTAATCCACTGCCTCAAGCTCAAAGTATCAATCAAATCAATATTCACGATGTATTTTGGATTAGTATTAAGACTCTTAAAAGGAGCCGAAGTTTCATATTTTTGGTTTTTGAACTCTGAAAACATCACAGATATTTTTTATCAAATCAAACGTTGACTCTTGTCTATTTCAATAATGAAAATATGTCTTTTCACCACTGTTTGGACCAGTATTCACACAATGCTATGCTGCAATTCTCTCCATTTCATTTAGGGGTGCATAATATATTGTTAGCCAATATATTATTTACCAATAAATGGGAAAATATAGTTATTATTGTCAGTGAAATATGGGAATTTGACACTGATGCATGTAATAGTCACACTCTGAAGCTTAAGTGTGAAAATATCTGTGGTGTAGGAGGTTGCCAGGGTTTCAGCAGAGGTCAAGAACTACAGCTCGCAATAAATCATTCCAGTCATTTACATTAGAACACAATGCTTGCTTGGCAATTGTAGCTAGGAATTCTGGGTAGCCCCACCTCTATTGCTACAATATTTATATTATTTAAGATCTTTTTTGTGTGTTTAAGAAGTGTGATGATTGAGAATTGGCAAATATATCAAATATATTAGTATATATATACCTTTTTAAAAAGCAACAAAAGGAAAGTGATTAGTTCTTGGTATAATTACTGTCCACAGCAAGGTCATCATTATCTGCTCAGGAATTCATAAGTAGTGCATGGCAAATGTTAACCTTCCCTTTCGTTTCCGATCTTCCTTTGTTACATGATTCAATTACGTTTTTTTCTCACTGGTTCTAAAATGGTTAATCATATCTGCAGCATTTTTAATGTTCATATTACAGATACTCTGTAATATAATAGCACAACATTTACTGCATTTCAAACTATGTACACATGCAGCCCAAATACCAGTGAGATAACACTTGGCCCTTTGCACTCTCCCTCTTTCTCTTTGTCATATACACACCTGGAGTCCATAATCTGTGGTGTTCTTCCATCTGTTGTTGGTTGCCCACACATTTATGCATACATCTCTTTCAAGTACTGACAGCGTGAGGGAAGTACCACAAATGCTAATTGTGTAACAGACACTGAATAAAGATCACAGAAATTGCTTGCCAGCTATTATTCATCACAAGTCAAGTTCGATCAGTATGATACTCTGCATGAACCTATCATGGAACTGGAGTTATGTAACTTCCTTTTTCGATGTCTTGAAAGATATACCACAGGTGGTAAAGATTGGCAACAGATTATCTGTCTTGCTTGCCCTAGAATGGTGCCGCATAAAGCTGACGTCTGAATCTGTGACAGACAGGACCGTTTGCAGAGGCAGAGCAGAAGAATGCTGAAGGTAGTGTCATAACAGTAAGCATGAGTTTAGAAATTGTTGACAAGTGTCAAGTCATAATACACATCTGTGTGTCTACTAGTAATATCGATACCATACTGATTTCATCTCATGTAATGCTGTAAAATGAGACATTTCATCTGTAAGTGGTCTGAACATAGTAATTTTAGCTGAGCAATAGTAGCCCAACACATTTCCATGTAGAACTCATCTTTAAATATCTACAAACTGGCATCATGAGACTTGGTAATTATTCACATCGTCACCAAGGAAAACATGGTATCAGTGCATCTCAACTAAAACACAGCACTGTGTTTTCTCAAACAAACTTTCCACGGAAGGTGGAAATGTTCATATTGTCCAGGATTTTACATCGCATTTAGCCATTTTAACATAAAACAAAACAATAACATAAACATCAAGACAGCCCAACAGCATGTTTCTTTTGAGATACTCAGAACTTTGTCCGATAGCCTAAAAGCTACCATCACTGTAGCATCATCACAAAATCCAACAGCTTTGCTGACTGCATTTTATATCATATCATGTAGCCCTAGTACTAACATTCCTGGCCACCAAAGAAAGGCTATAAACCTTGCAAAAATGACACACCGTTGCCAGGTACAACAGTTTTACAATAACTCTTGCTGCAGCCATGTCATGAGTGATTTCAACCAGACTGGGTACCTTTTACCCACCCTCAGATGGACAGAAGACTCAAAAGGCAAACAGCTGCCGATCAAGCATTGCATGTCACTTGCCTGACATGATTAGATGTTGGACTGTCCCCATCACAGGACATCACTGAATCTCTATATCATACTTGTGTTCACTGTACATTGTTGCTGTTTTGAACCTTCAGTGAAAGTGCATTGCTATATACTCTGTAATAGTGCTTTATAGAGTACTGTGCATATACTCACTTCATTTCTAGAATCTCCTCTAGTTGTTTCCGGCGCTCCTGTCTCATGCTGGTCAGGTGATTTTCCCTCTCAGCAAGTGAGATCTGCGTAGTGGACAGCCGTTGCTTTGTAACATCTAACTCCTGCCGCGTCTTCTCCAAGGCTGTCATCAGCTCCTCCAACTGAGACAAATGTGAATGAATCAGCAATCAAACCAGCACACAAACACACACTGGATAAACATATATACTCAGCATAAATTCATGGTCACAAAGCCAGAATCATATTGTCATAAATATGTAAGGAATTTCATGTTTATATAATAAATTTAACATGTCATACAATTTGTCAGGCTGTTCTATTACGCAGCTAAACCACTGATTGGCACTTTAAATGTGAACTATGAGCCAGATCGCTATGCAAAAGCTGAGCCATTACCGCAACCAGACTATTCTGTAAATCCGTTATTAAAGGTACTTAATAGTTTTTTGGGTTGTGATGTACTTAACCTTTACAGAGTACGAATCCATTTGTAAGTCCTGCCAACACAGAAACCTGCAAACAATTTCTGTTTGATGCAAGTACCTTTGTTTCCCCATCACTGAGGAGTAAGACTGGAAAAATGGCTGATGTTTGCTAATCCAAAAAAAGTCACAAATTCCTGTTAACCTCATTTTGCTCATGTGATTAGTCTCACTTACAAATGAGGCTGCAGTCAGCTGGATCCGCTGAGCTCCCTCCACACTGAGTGTGAGCTTTCAACTAAGCCTATAAAATCATTACGATTTCTTCTTTTTCATTAAATACATCAACTACGAGAGGTATTTGCACAATTTGGCAAATCACCTTTGAAGTTTCTTTTTTAATTTCCACATAAACACAGAAGTGCATGTGCAGATATATGAGGCAACAAAACCACAACATATGGTTTGAGAGAGTGGCAGGAAAAGTGGTAGGCAAAAGGACACAGGCCTAATTTTCTCGAAGAGAGCAAATTGTTCACACATTTTCAGGATGCCATTCTGTAAATGTGGTTCACATTTGTCAGAAACAATGCATTCTTCATTAATATAGAAAAGGGAAGGAAAAAATGAAGAAGAAATAGAACTGGGTGCATGTGTGTAATAACAATGTGTAAAGAGATGTGAGCTGCTCTGCAGGATCAGAGTAAGTCATTTAGAGTAATTTGTAACAATAGCAGGTTATTCTCAGTGTTCTTTTCTACTGAGTTTCACATTCCATTTTATGCTCTTTATTTTAAAATATATTTTTGAAAACCTCTGTTTAGATTTTTTTGTTTATTGATGTGGGTACTCAAAGCTTATCTAAGTAACTGGCAACTGAGTATTTGAATAAAAGATACGTAGTTCGGTATAAAAAATTAAATACACTGTGTATTACCCTCAAGGTTTTCTAGGGTTAGGGTGAGTATAATTCTTAAACCTGTTAAACAAGTTGTTTGTTAAACATGAATTCCACCATTTTGTCTAAATTTCTGCATTACTCAATCGTTGAGATGGATAGGAACCAGGGGTCATAATGTCTACAACACAAATATAGCCAATTTATTTACTATCCAAAATTACCTGTGAACCTAGATGTAAATTCTATAAGTAATATTTAAAAATGGTGGTAAAATCCAAAAATAAATATCTCAGGCATCAGGTAGTATATTTGTAAATATTTCATGTAACTTTCTGTGATGGAGCTTTCAGAAGCATTAGACTTTTCAGATGCCTGGTCCCTGTCACCATCGCTGTGAACAATTCTGACACATGAAACCACTCTGAATTACTTTTTTATGGCAGAATTATGCAGAAACAAAAGTGAAAGTCCTGTTTTAAATCAAATACCTCTAAAACACAAGTTACCTGATAAATTACTAAATCACCTGAAATTATCAGATACATGTCATCTCTTATGCTAACTTATCTTTTTTTTTTACTTAAATTCAGGATGATATAAAACATCCAGATTTGATTACTATTCATTCAAAATGCTGATATTCAAGTAGCAATGATACACTGACCAACCATTTCATTGAGTACACCTTTCACCATCACATCAGTGTCACTGCAGTGCTGAGAATGATCCACCACCCAAGTAATATCTGCTCTGTGGTGGTTCTGTGGGGGTCCTGACCACTGAAGAACAGGGTACAAGGGGGCTGACAAAGTATGTAGAGAAAGAGATGGACTACAGTCTGTAATTGTAGAACTGTGCACCTATATGGCAAGTGCAGCTGATGAAACAGACAATGAGTGTAGATTCAAGGTAGCTGTAGTTAATGAAGTGGCTGGCCAGTGTACATGTGTGACCTTTAGTATGGGAAGCAGACCACCAACCCCACTGCTCTAAATCTGTCAATCGCTCACACACACACACACACACACCCACACACACACACACACACACATATACACACACACACACTGCCAGCTTCGCAAGTGCATCATTAATAATGAATACAATGTGCTTTAGTCAAATGAGTGGGCTAGTAGTAGGGGGTGATGTGAGATGCTAAGCTGCTTAGCGCCTTTAGCCTGTGTGCGTGCTAATATGTGCTAATGCAGCTCGACTTCAATAGCTCTCTCTCTGAGCTCTGCACTAATCCATCACCTGCTCCTTCACTCCCTATTGGCCCAGGACAGCCTGGCCAAAGCTCTGCTGTCTGATTGCATCGCCATCGCCTGCTCCGTAGCTATGGTTCAAACGCTCTGGACCTCCAGGGTGCAGAGGTGGGCCTCCAGTGCCAAAACTCACGACCTTCTTTCCTTTCTTTTATTCCTTTCTTCTTTTTTTAATGCTTTTTTTTTCCTTTAAATACTGCTGAATTTCAGCAAGCTTCATTTGATGAGGGCATTACACATCATGAGACTCTTTTACTCTGGGAGAAAGGGAAAGAAAAGGGGGGAAAATGAGTGTGGCACAGCCAGTTATTGTTAGGGTGGTCAGGTGATGGCGGACTTTAGGCCACAAGCTATTTAAAAAATTATCGTCTTTGACCTCATTAACTGTTTTTGGGGTGGGAGGGGAGAAAAAGGGTTTTCTTCCTCATATGCTTGTCGGATGATTGTATTTCAAATCAGCAGGTTTTAAAATGAGATTTTGAGCAAACGAAATAAGTTCCCACGACTTCAACTGCAGACAAGATGTTTTACTTAAAAGAAAATGATGCAGGCTAAAAATACAATCTGTATAAACCATCTTCTACTGTCTAAACCCTGGCTGTCCTTTTCTTCTTTAAACTTTAATAAACTCTTTCTCTTTGAGTCTAGGGCATTTTTATTGACATAGCGATCATAAGGTCTTTGACATAGCTTATAAATTGATGAACAACAAACAAGTCGACGGATATCCAAAAAAAAAAGGAAAATAATAATAATGCAGTCTAAAAATATTCCCTCTGCATCAAAACCAACCTTATTCTGTCCATTCTGTCAATTTTGTCCATGCCCTGCCTGTCCTTTCCGAAGTTGGACTTTAATATACTCTTTCCCTTTGAGTCTATGACATTATTGACCTAGTAATTATAAGGTCTTTGACATTAGTTTAGAAATTCTTGAACAATAAACAGAGCAATGGATTTTCTTACCAAAAATTGGTGAGAGTAAACTTTGAAACAGTCTCTGTGAGAGAAGCACTCTGCCCAACGTAAGCCCAAACCAGACTGGAAAAACATTATGGAGTTATGATTGGCCTGTGCCTCCGAACTGCGCACTTGCTTTCTTCTTCTGCTCTTTTTTTTGGACTTTGTGTGAAGAAAAGAGCAGCTGGGATATATAGGTACTCCAGTTACTTCTCCCTTCTTCTTCTTTATCCATGCAAGACTCCCCTTCTACCTCTCTCTCACTCACACACACACACACACACACACACACACACACACACACACACACACACACACACACATCTCTGGCCACACATATTCAATCTCACCAAGTATCACATCCTATTACCAGAGCTGTGCAGTTACATATGGGGAGCTAAGCCTCTGACATAGAGACGGCACAATACCATTTTTTCCTACAATGATATTAAAACCTAGTTTGGCTGATACCAATACCAATCTTATATAATGTGACATTAAAAAACTAAGCTTTAAAATTAGCCAATGCAAAACGTGTCCATTTCTGCTGTTTTATCTACTCTATTTCATTTCATGATTTGAATGCTGTTATTTTTCTCTTGACATGTTAACATGATCTAACAAAGCCAAAAATTCTGAGATATTTATTCAATTTGTGTCATGAACTACCTTTCTGAACAAGGAAACATGAATAAGAATGTAAGTCACACATCCATCAGGTTTTATTCTTAGTTTGATTAATCAAAGCAGTAACCAGTCCAAACTGCATTCTAAATTGGTTGTGGGCTCATTCGGAAACAAGAAAAGAAGTGTTGCATATATTTTATATAGTGATAGAAAACACAGTAGCACACAGAACACTCTGGTTCTACATGCATAAACTGTTAAAAGGATTTTACTGTCGCCAATGGGGACGTGCACAAGGTCAAAATGAATGAATTTCTTTTTTCTGGGCCGGTACCGGACTCACCAGGTTCTTTTTGTCAACTGATGCACTCCACTTAAAATGGCCATGTAAAAGTACCATATTTAAACAGTTCAAACACTTTAGTACCCTACAGGAACAAAAATAACTGTGTGATAGAAACATCACTTACAGTGCAAATGTGTGTAAGATGAGGAAAAATAAAAATTTTTAATTGTAATATAATGTCAATGCTGCTGCTGAGCGGCTGCATCTGCAGTAAATGTGTCAATGAAGAGACAACGTGCCATCACAGCTCAAAATACTGTCACAAGCTCTTCACTCAAGAGTGTGCTTTCTACCTGCTGTAACAACCAGATCAAAAAGTTTCCACAATGAAGACTTCCTCTGAATTTTAACCAGTTCCCCTTTAGCAAGCTTTATTTTCATATCGTCCATGGAGAACAGTCAGCAAGAAAGGCTTTGCTGTACACACACTAGACTCTGTTAGAGAGAGTGAGTGAATGAAGGGCAAAAAATGCAAGTGTGTGACATTTACATACACTCAAGCACAATCCAAGCCCAAAGTTGCATGTGAAAAAAACGTCCCAAACCTGGCCAGAAACCCGATAGTGTGTCAGGCCTTGTCAGACTCAGGTCAGATAGCAGACTTCTAGCAACTTGTTCTAATGCTACCATTAATTAAAGCTACTGTTATCACGTGACCTTATTTATTTCACTTAAGTATCAGATTAGATTAGTTCTTAATTTCCTCCAATATCCAATCTTGCACTTTTTACAGTATTTTTACAGTATCTTGACTGATGTATAGAGAAAACAGTTCAAAACAGACATAAAACATGCAGAAGTACAAGAAATGCTTGCTTATTTGTTTGAGTTAGTATTTGATTTACACAACAGAGCACTTATACTCTAACTGTATGTCTCTGCTAGCTGTGCAGTGCATGCCTGTGTGTGAGTGTAAGTATGTGTGTGAGAGGCTAAAAGAGTGAGGTCACTCCAGTTCATCTGCATCTTCTTTTTATGAGTGGAAACAGTGGAGAAGACAGGAAACTTGATTCATTCCAAAAACGACCAGAAAAGAAAGTCCTTTTACGGATAAATGCAAAGTTCAAACACTGCCACAGCACTCACAACTGACCCAGGACAGCTGGGCACTGAAGACATCATCAGACACAAGGGAGGGAAAGAGAAAAAGAGAGACAGGGAGCAGTCAGTGGAGTAAAAAGCACACAGTGGCACAATGCAAGGAGGAGCATGAGGAAGGACCTGCCACACGTACACACGTGGAAAAAGAAAGTACAGGAGACAGAGCACGGCCCAAATCACGCGTCTAATTAAAAAACCTGAATGGAAAGAAATAATCACCCAGCTGCAGCTAAAGAGAGCAAAGAGTACATGCAATTGCATCGGCTTAGAGAGAGGAAACTGCAATTTGTGCTGCTGCTGAAAGAGAGGGATGGAAAATCAGGTTAGTGGTATAGGAGAGTTCAGTGAAAGAAGGCCTAACAGGACTTTCTCTCTCTCTGTCCCTCTCTCTCTCTCTCTCTCTCACACACACACACACACACATTGAACAGGCACTTTGACAGGCAGCAAGAAATGCCCAGACCAGCACTACTGAATAGCAGCAAAAATAGTGGTGAAGCTGACCAATGGCCATACAACTTCACTTTATGGTAGATACACAAACCCACACTAACTAACCCACAGTCAACACATAGCCACATCTTAAACTAACAAATGACAACATTGAAAACAACAGCAACAAATGTCCTTTTAACGGAAGGGGGGAGGCGCACGTGGTGTAGCTTTGCATACCATGCCCCAAAAGCCCCTTCTGAAACACAGAGCATGTTGTGGATGCCACAATATTGCATACATGTATTTCAATTTATATTCACTGCTCACTGCTTTAGCTGTACATACTGTGTATGTGCGACTGAAACTTGCGTACTATATATATATATATATATATATATATATATATATATATATATATATATATATATATATATATATATATATATATATACACACAATAATAATAAGGAGGAATATAATTGCAATTCAAAAAAGAGAAAACAGAGAGTTCGGAGAAGTGATTAAAGATGTAAAGTGTGTGAGTATGTGTGTTGGAGCTGCAGATTTATAGATGAAGAATCAGAGGGGCATGCCACAGCTTGAAAAAAAATGTAAGTAGTGGGCATTCCTGGAGAGGAGGACTGGACATTGTGTTGAGGAAAAGATGTGGTCATTCATGCTCCACAGAAACCATGTAAAGCCTCTGCCCTCCCGCACTCGCCAGTCTGTGTGTGTGTACCTGTCTCTGTGCTAGAGCATGTGCCTGCTCCTCCTGAGCCCACAGAGCCTCTCTGTGAGCAGAGGTGTTCATGCTTTCTCTCAGAGCTCGCTCCAGCTCTCTGATTTGCTCAGCTGTCTCCTGCGTTGAAGCCTGGGAAGTATGAAGCTAGAGGAAAGGAGGGGGAACATGGCAGAGCATTCCACATGAACAAATATAATTACATTCAGGCTTGGGTTACTTTACTCTTGAATTCTGTTCAGATGTAATTAGGTGCAGTGCTTAAATGATTATCACTGTCATATCAAAATTTCATAACTCCATATTTTATTTTTTATTTGCAACTGACAGTTGCTCTTAACATTATGCAAAGGGCTCAAGATGAAAAGACTAAACGAAATTATCCAGAATAACTTGGAATAAAATAGCAACATTAATACATTAAAGAATGTTTTTTTTTCCTTCTCCTAAGGAGTTACCGTTTTAAAGAGAGAATTTGTTATGACAGCAATGTTATAACAGACTTCTGACTTCACTGAGAGCTCTGAAAGCACATCATATTTGCTGAAAGGAGCTGCAAAATAGGAGAAAATAAAACTTCTAAAGATTAAGGATTTGTTCAGCTGTTTCCATTCCCAGTGCAAAAAGCTAAGGAAAAAAAGGAAGGAGGTGAACTATAATCATATAATGTGAGAGAACGAAGAGTGTTGGGTAGTAGGGGGTTAAAAAAGTCCACACCAAGACACTTATACACTGGAGAGAAAATAAATCCTTCCACACCTAGAGGAAAAGAACATGTGAAAGTAAACTTTTAAAAGAAAGGAAACTTTCTCTTAACCTCTCTTCTTTTTCACTCCTCTGTCCACACATTCACACTTTAAGTGTCTCTCATCTGAGCAGGGAGGGAACGTAACACGTGATCAGACCATGACAGATTAGTAAGAGCTTGTGAAAGCAGAGCTGCTATGGGTCTCTAGATATCTAGACATGTCTAGATATTGGTATGTTATACAGTGTCAGAAGTGTATGATAATCTAGGCATGAAACTATGAAGCGCACAATGCTAAATGGTGGAGTATAAGCTTCCATTACTTGTTAGCTACATCAGCTTCGCAGCCCCAGTGCAAAACTAAACATTCAAATTTAGGACCCCAAACTTTTATGATATGGGGGTAAATCATGTAAATTTATTTTTCACCAAACTATTTCTTTAAGGATTAGAAGGCAAACCCCCATGGGCAGATTAGATCAAGAAGTAAGAAAGAGCACTGAATCACTTATGGGTGAATTTTGAAAGAAATGTATGGAAGCAGCACTCATTGTTTTGAGTGTCTGGCTTTTGGACAAAGACGGACAGAATTTGGCTCAAATGTAGACTACACATAAACAGAAACACACTCACAGAAACATAGACACAATATCATGGCAAGTAGGTAACCGACTCACGACACAGCTCTGACTCGTTTGCAAATTAAATGAAATTGCAGTCTGAGACAAAAAATACAAAACTGGTTACATTAGCACCTTATTTTGTTTCTAACTTTTGCTGTTCTCCTTCAGCTCACAGTGGCATCAGGTTCAATATGGCTTCAAATAGCAAGGCTTCACTTTTTTTAATTTTTTTTTTTACAATGCAATGCGTGTAGCTAATAAGAAAAAAATTCTCAGGTGGAGATGGTCATACATCCATATATTTTTTAGAACTGTGCAAATGTTTAAATGATATTGCGCAAGAAAGTTTATAAAATTGAAACAACTGCAACTAAGAAACAATGCAAATGTGAACGTCTGCTATTGCTGAACAAGTCTGTGACCTCACTAGTGTCATTAACAAAATGTGTTATGTATCATTGTACCGTTATACTCTTACGCATCACAAAGTATGCCTTTCACATACAGACACACACTCACACACCCCAAGGTAAAACGAGTAAAAGTGCAACCAAAACAAAAACAGAATTGGAGCAGTAGGTTGGGTCCCTGGTGTGGGAGTGACACAGTCAGGTTGTGTGCATCACGAGGCCGGCACACTGATTGGACCTGACAGCTCAGCTGTAACCCAATGCAGCCGGATCAACAGAGCAAACAGTAATGCTGGACCAACTGAGGAGCGGGTTGGAGAGGGCGAAAGCTTTCGCAAATGCCAAACACAACCTTGGTGCCTATACTACCTTGGTACATCACTCCCCACAACCCCCCAAAATAAGAGGGACCAGAGATAATTGTGGCTGTGGGGCCATTCGGCACCTTCGTCTCAGACTTCAGTAATTATGTAATCTGACGGTTAAGGCCTAATCTGAGGGAGTATAATCAGCTAAACAAACTGGCAGAGAGTGAGAAAATGCTGGTTTTCCTCCAAATAATGAAGGAGATTTTACAGATCTGCTTTTGACATTGTAGAAGCAATGACAGGGGGCCAAGCACTCCAAACAGCTTAGCTCAAAGTGACACACGTCACTCTCACTTCAGTACAACCAAGTCTTATTTCAGCCACATCCATATTTCTTTAATTTGTTCTACCCACCTCCTTAACTTAGAGCTCATTCAGTCTATTCTAACATACTAAGTCAATATTAAAATCATATGTTTCATTTAACTCTAAAGCTCAGTATCAAGTTTAATAGTTCTGGTTGATTGCTAATTATTAACATTCACTTGAAGAACCATAAACTTCTATCACATTAAGGTTTTCATTTTAACATTGTTTATGGCCTAAAGTATGTGGCCCGGCCCATAATAAAAGACTGAAGACATGATTAAGTTATTGCAATGTCATACAAGTCAGAAAATCTGAACATTTGATCTCATGTGAACGCGTGCTGAACAAATACGGGTCTGAATCTGGAGCTGTCACGGTGTAATCAAGAAAAAATAGGCACAGGCCAAAACCTAAACACAGAGTCATTTCCCAAGCTGTCTTTGTTGTCATGCGGGCTAAAATGAAGAGAGGATTTGTTTTTCATTCGGAATCTCAAAAAAGTCTTGTGTGTAGACCATATATGTCTTGTACAAGTCTGTCTGAAGAAACTGACTGTGAGTTAAGAGGAGAAGTATGCTGCTGAACAATTAAAATCATTTTTATATTGAAAATTATATTCAAAATTTGAAAGAGGGCAGTTTTCAAATCACAAGAGCTGCAATTGTAGTTATATCCCACATTATTCAATACTGTCTTTATAAATTTTAAGATGGGAATTCAACCTAATAGTACAGAGCTTTTGAACCAGCAGCCTGGCAGATTATATTCAGTATTTGAGTCTGAAAAAGTAAATGTGCTGTTCTGAAGAATAATTTATAGAAAATAACCACATTTAAATAGCAATCGCAATATTGTCCAGAAAAATTACAAGTCGCTATTTTTCCAAAATCATTCTCCAAATTAGTATGTAAAAAGTACAACATTTAAAAAATAGAATATTCGGTACAAAAGTAGTCACTCATATACTTGTAAAGCCAAGCAGAAATAATGTGAGTTGCAGGCCAAGAGCGAAGGCTTAGACGGACTGCTAGAGGTGTTTGTTTAAGATGAAGTGGCACACTCAAGAGGATCAGTAGGTGATGCTATCTCTCTCCCATGCAGCTACACTCTGCACTGTGTGTGTGTGTAGAGTGTGCATGTTATGTGCCATTGTGAATGTAAGTGAGGCAAACACACACACACACAGAAGTTTTTATTATTTGTCTTTGACTCAGCCAGGTTCCTGATGGGTTAAGAGATAGGGAGATCAGAAAGCACCCTCATTTTAGCAAAGACTTCTGCACGTGGAAATCAGAGCTGTACCAAACAAAGGAGTCACTTTCCACAAATCCTTGCATAGCCACTTTACTTTACACTAATACTTTTTTACCATGCAAACCGCACAGCAGCGCAAAGAACTGTGTATTAATGTCCATTTTATTCAACCCAACTGGTTCAATAAATGGCTAGAGATTGCGTTACCGTTACATAGTCAACTAACTTCATTTGACTTTATCAAGTTTGTCGTCCTCTAACTCCACAGGACCACTGTCTGCTGTGACGTTTTTGGCTGATTGACTGTTCTGAATTACTTTAATGTATAAAATGACCTCTTCTTTAGGAACCATCTTATAATTCAATTAGAGATGTCCTGATTCAGCCCTGCCTCGCCCTCCAATCAGATTGGAGTCCTTTCATATGATATTCAGTCTAATCCAACATTTGTGTTTTCATAGATAATATGAAATATAATAACAGCTGCACAATTTAGGTAAATTAGGGTGCCAATTTATAACACAGTAAAAATCATTTTTAGTAAGTTCATAATGTTCTGTTACTATTTACCAGTCAACACGCAGTAAAATCTTTGATACGTGTATGGTGATACATTGTGAAATTGTGTTTTTTTTGTGTGTACTACTTAAGTTTAACAACCATTTTATACAGTCATGAATTCTCCTTTCTTTCAGTTTTGAATACGTTGTTTATGATAATGCCGGTTAAAAAGCAGAAGCAGTGCAGTACGGTGATAGTTTTCGATTTCTGTATTTCATACATAGTTTTGGCGACATGTCACTTGCTACAAATAGCTGAAAACAGACTAAAATAGCCACATACTTTTTACATGTCTAGACAAAAGACTTACGTATTTCACGTGGTTAGACGAAAGCTGGTTGTTCAAACCTAGTAGAAATATGGGCACAGCAGATATTACAAATTCTCTTTTTCCACCTTAAAGGAGATCCACACTGGAGAACACTGAATCTCTTTATTACCTTCTGAAAGTGCACCTACACTGTAAACACAGCGCAAAAACAAAACAATGATTGGAACGAGATCAGGCTTATTTTAGCTGATACTTGATACTTTAAAATATGCCAGGACATCCCTAAATTTATTACCACTAGTAGTAAAAATGGCCTTAAATTTTAGATATCTATTTTAAGACTTTTTAAGTCTTTTAAAGGATCCACTTGAACCCTGTAACATCAGACTCTCTCTCCCTCTCTCTCTCTGTCCCTCCCTCCCCAAGTTGTTTTGATGCTTTAGTTGTGGCTGGTATGGAGTTGATTTCTGACTGACTAAATCACTGTCTTTTTTACTTAGATTACGCCAGCAAAGATGATTTGAAGGGGCTGTGGAATACCTACCATATGTGCACAGAGGGAAACCAAACACACACAAACACACACACACACACACACACACACACACACGCACACATACACACACACACACACACACTGAATGGAAGATACATCAATGTTTTATATTTCATTTAAGAAATAACTGTGATAAGAAGACAGAATAATAAAGGCAATGTGTGTGTATCTGTGAGTGAGTGGAAAAAAGACAACCTCTCACCTGTGGAGGCCCATCAGACGGTCTCATTTCTCCCAGCTGGGTGGGTTTTGCACTTGCCATTTTCTTATTTTGTTCCTTTGCTTGCCTGCAAAACAGTGTTAAGGGAGACAATAAGATGTATTTCAATGCCCTATAGATATGCTTTTGCACATAACACAGAATCTGACTAACTGCATCTGACTGGATTTGTGCCTTTAGTTTCGGACAACAATCACTGTGTTATTTGCTCACTGCTATTATTATTAATGTTTACTAAGCATTCATGAGTTTGTATGAGTGTATTGTAACTGTTTTAATGCATATTTTTACCGTTCTAATTCACTTTCAGAACAACATTAGAGGACATAAAGAACATAAAATGTTACTAAAATGTAAATGGTACTATATTACTAGATTGTGCAGATGCACACTCAGTTTCAAGTCTTACTTTATTTTTTTTTCCATTGGTTGAGTAACATTATAAAAGTAAACTTTAAGAGAATAGTCAATGGCTATAAACAACCTTTCAACCAGTGGCTGCTGTATTTATATACTTTAGTCAATGTGCAATGACTAGACTGTTTACTGTGCTTCAAGACAAGACCTATGAAAGACAAAACAATACATACATGTACTAGTATTTGTCTGTGTAAAGGCATGCCTAGCACCATTTCTGGGTTCTTCTTGCATTTAAATTCAAATACGTTGGGACACTGTATAGAATGCAAATAAAACAGAGTGCAATAATTGAAAAGAGTGCAAAGACAACGTATCAAATGTCAAAACTGAGAAATGCTATTGTTTTTTGAAAAAATGTATGCCCATTTTTAATTTGATGCCAGCAACATACTTTAAATAAGTTGGGACAGGGGCAACAAAAGACTGGTAAAGTTGTGTAATGCTAAAAAAAACATCTGAAGGAACACCTTACAACTAATCAGGTTAATACACAACAAGTCAGCAACATGACTGGGTATAAAAAGAGCATCCCAGAGAGGCTGAGGCTTTCAGAAGTAAAGATGAGGAGGAGTTCACCACTCTGTGAAAGACTGCATTGGTAAATAGTGCAGAACTCAAAAATAACATTTTTTTAACATAGCAAAGATTGTATCATCTAGGGTACATAATATAATTAAAAGTTTCAGAGAATCTAAACAAATCTCTGAATGCAAGGGACAAGGCTGAAAACCAATATTGGCTGGCTGTGCCCTCGGGTGACACTACATTAAAAACAGACACGATTCTGTAGTGGAAATCACTGCATGGACTCAGGAACACTTCCAAAAACCACTGCCTGTGAGCATAGTCCATCGCTGCATCCACAATTGCAAGTTCAACGATGCAAAGAAGAAAGAAGCAGATGCAGAAATACTGCTGTCTTCTCTGGGCCAGAGCTCATGTAAAATGAACAAAGACAAAATAAAAAAGTGTACTGTGATCCAACAAATTGAAATTTGCAATTCTTTGTGGAAATCATGGATGCCACATCCTCTGAGTTAAAATAGGAAAGGGACCATCCGACTTATCAGCGCACAGTTCAAAAGTCAGCACCCATGATGGTATAGGGGCGCATTAGTGCATATTGTATTCATGACTCGCACATCTGTAAAGGCACCATTATAGCTGAACAATATATACAGGTTATATATTGTTATGTTGTCTTTGTACTATTACTATTTTCAATTATTGCACTCTGTTTTATTTGCATTCTATACAGTGTCCCACCGTATTTGAATTTAAATGCAAGAAGAACCCAGAAATGGTGCTAGGCATGCCTTTACACAGACAAATACTAGTACATGTATGTATTGTTTTGTCTTTCATAGGTCTTGTCTTGAAGCACAGTAAACAGTCTAGTCATTGCACATTGACTAAAGTATATAAATACAGCAGCCACTGGTTGAAAGGTTGTTTATAGCCATTGACTATTCTCTTAAAGTTTACTTTTATAATGTTACTCAACCAATGGAAAAAAAAATAGTAAAGTAAGACTTGAAACTGAGTGTGCATCTGCACAATCTAGTAATATTGCCATTTACATTTTAGTAACATTTTATGTTCTTTATGTCCTCTAATGTTGTTCTGAAAGTGAATTAGAACGGTAAAAATATGCATTAAAACAGTTACAATACACTCATACAAACTCATGAATGCTTAGTAAACAGCCACATATGCTGCCATCCAGATGACGTCTTTTTCAGGGAAGGCCTTGCTTATTTCAGCAAGACAATGCCAAACCACATTCTGCATGTATTACAACAGCATGATTCTATAGTAAAAGTAAAATTGGCCTGCCTGTACTCCAGACCTGTAACCCACTGAAAACATTATGCACATTATGAAGCAAAAATGTTGATGAAAAAGACATGATGAAGGGCCCACAAACTGTTCTGAAATCTTATATCAAGCAAGAATGAGAAAACATTTCATTTTCAGAACTAAAGTAATTGGCCTCCTCAGTTCCCAAACACTTACAGAGTGTTGTTAAAAGAAGAGGTGATTCAACAAAGTGATAAACATAACCAACCATAACAAACCTGTCACAAATTTTCTGAAAGGTGTAGCTGGCAACAAATTCAAAATTGACAGATATTATTCAAAAAACAATACAATTTCTCAGTTTCAACATTTGACATATTGTCTTTGTACTATTTTCAATTAAATATGGATTTAAATAATTTGCACATCATTGCTTTCTGTTGTAATTTAAGACAAAAGACAAAAAATGAGATAAAAAAGATATAAAGATTCTGAATGACCTGGAGCTTTAGTTTTTAAATGTATTAAAATTTAAATGTATAAAAATGTTTTTAGCTTTTGTGCACAAATGATTTATTAAAATAAACTGTCACTGGGTGGTGGCCTTCTTTTCACTGGGGTGGTATATCTTCATTTCCTTTAGACAGAAAACATAACTGTACCATAATCCACTGCAGATGTATTTTTTAAGTTTAACACTGACTCCACACACCCTGTCTCGACTGTAGGCTTTTAACTTTATTGCTCTGTTTTAAAACATGTGACACATTTTAAGACCTGGAGTTACATGATGTTGACTAACCCACCCTAAACTGTATGTCTCTGCCATGCAAACACAAACATTGCCCTCTTCCAAAACATAAATAAATAAATAAAAAGAGGGAAAAAGAAGCAGAAGAAGGAAAAGCAAACTTTTTACTCCCAACTATGTTGAAATAAGGTAATTTTTCTACAATCTGGCATTTTCATTTTCTTCATTTCATACTCTTTTTTTGTTTGCGGTAATGCAATAGCCAAGTTGACCAGCTATTGATAAAATGAAAATTGGAGATTTTATCTTCAAAGTGTCATCTTCATGACAAATAATATTCTACAAACTAAAACTTTATAAATATGTTACTGTCAGCATTTCTCTCTGCCCATCTGCTTGGATACTGCATACTTCTCAAATGCTGTTTTTCTTGCCTTCTCTGCATCTACTTTTTTTGTCTGCTTTTTTGCCATTGCTATTCATCTTCATAAGATTCATGTATGAAATGTGCTGTATTTGTGAGAAATGCTGAAAGTAATTCACTCTGTAGAACTCTGCCTGCTGTGTCAACCAGTGCCAGATTCATATACCATACACCAAATGTTCACTGGCTAATCTCTACCCTCTATGAGACTCATTAGCTGACCAGCCAATCAGGGCTATATCTCTGAAGGATGGTGCTGCTGATTTAATCCTTCAGTTATTACAACTGTAGATTTGGTTGTAACTTTTACAGTTTGTATGTGCATTCACATGTTTATTTGCATAGATTTTCATAGGATAGACCACGGTAACACTGGCACAAAACACTATGGGTTCATTGGTCAACTCTCCTGACTCTCCCAATTATCCAGTCCAGTTTAGGTAAGTAAGTAGGCACATACAAAAGCAAACAAACAAACAAAGAAACAAATGAATTAATAAATAAAGCTGTATTTAAGCCTATTTGGATAGCTGTGACATTTGTATGTACAATTTTTGAAAAGAGTTTTATTTAAATTATTTGTACAGGATTCAACAGGTAAATTCACGAGAATGAACTGACTTCTTATAGATAAACTATACACACACACACACACATATATATATATATATATATATATATATTGAATTGATCATGAATTGATGTTCACAGATCATGGACCACACTGACCCCCATGAAATGTTTTTATGTCAGGTTGAATACAGGTTGAATACATTATTTGGAATACATTATTTGGAGGAATGGAATCCATATTATGTAAGAGAGAAATGTGTGTGAGCATGTGTGCACACAAATACACATTCATCGTGATCCATTACGACAAATCCACAATTACGTTTTGATGTAGACATCAAAGACTTAAGATTGAGTCTTTATTGTTAAAGATCTATCTGACATAAGAGAGATCACAGCACCCATCACGAGCCACAATTAAAGAAACATGATAAGCCATTACTCAGACTTAGCAAAACATATTAAAACCCACAGTACTCATTTTGCAGAACTATTTCTGTTTGCACAGGGCTCATGTTGTAAGACAGTTGCTTCCAGAAGATAAGTTCAGCAGTATTATAATTTCAGAAATTACACTATGTGTAAACTATGTGGAAAGAATGTGTAAATACTTCAAAGTGTTAAGGAATGTTGGGTTTTTGCATTGGCACTGTGTGTGTACACAGTGCTGTGCAAACGTCTTAGGTAGCTATGAAAAACTATTTATATTTATTTATAACTGAGTAAAAACTATTTTTCTCAGCAGTAAGTGTGTTCTTCCCAGTAAAAAACATTATATAACATTAGAATAAAAACACAAAAACAGAAAAACAGACAAACATAAGAAATATACTTTTTTGTTCATATAAAATGTTTTAATATCTTGATTAGAAGAATATAGTTAGAAGAACTCCAGGTGGTTCCTGACCTCTCACTGCACTCCAGTCATTTCATAGATTTGCCAAATTTCATCAGCAGCTCCTGTTTGATTAAATGAAGGATTGATTAGCTGTCAGTGTTTTGTCTAACTAACAAATATTTCCTGTACAGATAAATAGCTTTACATATATTTTTTTCTGATGACCTACGAATTTTCCAGTGCCAAGAAAAAAAGAGAAGA